CTGGCACAGCAGTCCCAGCACTGTGGCCCACAGCAGCACCCACAGCAGCTGAGGGGGCAGGAGAAGGGCAGCACGGGTTGGTGGTGGGCAGCACCCCGCACCCAGTGGGGTCACCAACAGCCTGGGGCTCACCTTAAAGCCGGCCACAGCCCCGCACTGCAGGTCTGACTCCACATTGCCTGGGTCCAGGTAGGCGATGCTCATCAGGAAGCCAGGGCCAGTGAAAGCCCACAGCTTCCTGAAGCTGAAGCCGGGCTGCAATGGGGTGGCAGGTCACAGTGGGATGGGGCAAGTCCTGTGGGGTCTGGTTGTTCCCATTCAGAACTGGTGGCTCTCAGTTGGGCTACTGGTCGCCTATTTCTGTGGAGCCCTGCACTGCCACGTGGGCACATGTTGTGCATGGAAGGCATTTCTCTCTCCTCCAACCCCCTTCCCTTGCCCTTCACCACTGGGGTGGACAGCGAGACCCCAGTGATGTTTGGGCATGGGATTGGATTGAAATTTTTTGCGGCGCAGATGGAGCTGCCACCCTCCTTGTGCCGTTAACAGCATCTTGTGCAATCACACTCCAGTGAGCTGCTTTCACAACTCCATTCCTTCCCCTTCTCCCTTCCTCTCTCAGGCAACAGCTGGGGCTGGAGGGGCCCCAGGCTGCTGGGGAGGGCCATGGGACTTGGCCACCCCCTGGGACAGGAGATGGGGTGGCCCTCAGAGCGAGGCATCACTGCCTTGTGCCTTGGTTTTCCCATTGGGAAAGCTTCAAGTGTGGGAATGGGGCTGCAATTACTCTGCTGGAGCTGGAGCTGTGGACGTCAAGGTTCCCAGGGCATATCCTAGATGTGACCCTTGTAGTACTCAGTATCCTCAGCTGCACCTACCGCGCTGCCTCTGGGGATGCTGATGAGCTCATCCAGGTAGGTCTGAGCACGGGGAACAGGGTGATGTGGGGGGACAGGGATGTTGCTGGTGTCCGTTTGGCCTCGGTTCAGGGACCCAGTGATGCCTGGGAGAGAAGGAAGAGGACAAGGGGAGGAAAAGCAGGAGGGCATGTAGCAGCTCACTGCATATATGGGCAACGCCAGGTCCCAGCTTCATCCCAGAGACATCGGCCCAGGGAATGGCCCCACAGCTCCTGGGGGCCTGCAGCCACTGGGGCCAGCAGTGGTGGCCCGAAGCAGCCAGATGCCACCTCCAGCACAAGTGCCTGTCAAAGCCCTCTCCCCAGGCCACCCGTCACCAGCCCCAGTGCCACAAGGAGTGGGTGCAGAGGGTATGATGTACCCAGCCAAGATGGGACTCACCTGGCTCCAGTGATGCTGTAGCAGGGCTGGATCCAGACATGGTGCTGGGGAACCCCTACCTCTGTGTGCTGCACCCAGTGCACAGCTCTTATAGCTCCCAGCCCCCCCTCCAGGGAAAGCGGAGGAGGAGGAGGAGAAGGAGGAAGTGCTCCTTCCCTGCTTGCCACAAACCTAGGCTGGGAAAAGGCCTCCCAGGGGGCTGGGTCTCAGTTCCCCACCTGAGCATGGGGCAAAGCAACCTCCCTTTCATCTGGAAACACGTATCCAGGGGTGGGCATTGTGCCCATGTGTCACCCCCACAGCACATGTCAGGGTCCTGCTGCTTAGAGCGGGGAACACGGGCAGTTTTCCACAATGGAGGAGTTGCTGACCCCGTTCCCCGTTGAAGTGGGAGAAAGGCCAAAGGAGTGGGAGTGAGAAGGAAGCAGCATGCATTTCACAGGCACGTGAGCAGGGCAAAATGCACCCCGGGCTTGGAAAAGGTGGTCCAGAGAGTGCTGGGTGCTGGGGTGGAAGACACTCTCACCCAGAAGTCTGGGGAGCTCAGTGTTGGTGTGAATCAGGCTGCACCTCACAAAGTCCCCAGGGCTGTGGCGGGACCTTGGAGTGACACCCCTAGGGGACACATGGAGTGGTGGCAGGGCACAGGGCTCTGCCACATGGTAAGCCCTAGGCACTCCATATCACAAGGGAAGGCTTTTTTTTTTTTTGGGGGGGGGGGGGGGGGGGGGGGGGGAGGAAGGTGGGAAATAAGCCCTAAACAGTCATGAGGGGCTCATAGACAGCTCAGCCTCACAGCCCTCCCCATGCCTCAGTTTCCCCAAATCACACGAGAGAACTGCAGGAGCACTGCTGATACCTTTAATCCCCCTGAGCCAGGGGACTGGGACAGGAGATGCTGCAGAAAGGGCTGGGGGATATGGAGGAGGCAAAGCTGGGCCCAGGGGGCTGGTGGCGGGCAAAGGGAGCAAAGAATTCTGCAGCAAAGAGGATGGGGTCGGGGGGCTGGCGGAGCAGCAGGGCCTGCAGGAAGTCAGCCAGCAGTGCAAAGAGCTCAGGATGCTGCTGAATGTAGGTGCTGTGGGACGCTCGCAGCTCCTCCTGTAGGGTTGAGGACAGGGTCGTCCCCGTGCCAAGCTGGTGGGGAGCCTGGGTCCTTCCCTGCCTTTGCAGAGGGTTTGGAGGTGCTATGCCTCTTCCCAGGGGGAATCCTGCTGAAGAGCAGCATAATCTCATGTCTCTCATCCCCAAGCCCCCCCCTCACCTTCCTGTCCAAGAACCAGGAGCACAGCTGGGCGTCCTCCTCCCAGTCCAGCAGCTGCTTTGGGAAGAGAGGCTGGGACTCTGCACCCATGCCGCTGAGAGCAGGTGCATCCTGCAGCACAGCAACCACCGGGCACCCCACCTGCACTCGCCGAGCCAAATGCCTGCAGAAGGGCATCAACGCTGAGCTCCTCCATCCTGATGCCAACACCCAAATCTGCCCCACCCCAGGCTGGCACCGTACCCGCTGGGGAGGAGGCTGTAGTGCCACACCATCGGAATGCCCTGGGCAGCATGCAGGGCTCTCTCCACCACCAACACTTCCGCCTGCGCTGAGCCCACCGGCTGCTGCCGCATGCCCAGGGAGCGCTGTAGGGACACAAAATCACTCTGTGCCCACCTGTCATCCTCGTGTCAGCCACCCGTGCCCCCCAGGGTCTCACATAGGTGGTGGTGCAGAGGTGGCCCTCCTTGTCGATGGCCGGGAAGGTGATGCTGGGGGGCACGGCATGGCGGCACGCCAGCACCCGCAGCAGCAGCAGACTGGCAGCCTCCCCCAGCAGCCCCTCCAGTGAGGCCCAGCTGTAGGAGAACACCTGGTGCTGTGGGTCTGCCTGCAGGGACAGCCCAAGGGACACCCTGGAGAATCCATACCAACTGCTCTCCAGGTAGGAGGGAAGGGTGGGAGGAGGTGGGGAATATCACCTCTCCGTCCCGGGTGGTGACAGTGACGGTCATTCCATGTGGGTGCTGTACCATGTGGATCTTCCTCTCCATGGGGTGTGCTCCAAACTGTAGGGGGAACAGAGCCACCCAACATCCCTCTCAGTTGGTGCAGGGGAAGAGGGACACCAGGGTGCCATAAACAGGTTCACTGTGGGAAAATCCCCATCCCCACTGCCACCCAGGGCAGGGGACTAGCCTGGAGGGATGGCTCAGGTGCATAGGCAGGGGCACCGCTTCAGAACAGAGGGACTAAGGGGACATGCCACCACCACGGCTGCCTGCTTACCTCCAAGCGCTCGTGCTGCTCCTGCTCCAGCGTCTCCAGCTGCATAGACACATACCCTGTGGGAGCAGAGCTCTGTGCACCCCGGGACAGGGACACCACTGCCCCCAAGATACCATCCCACCCAGTGGGATGGTGACATCCCACTCCAGCGCTCCCAGCTCACCCGTGAGCCTGCAGGAATATGGCACGCCATCCAGCAGCCCCTGGGAGCCGGCCTGGAGCAGGAGGCAGCTCCTCACCCGCTGGCCCTCCTGCTCATAGGGTGCATGTCGGGCCGTTACCCAGAGATGTCCCTGCGGCTGTCCCCCCGCTGCCACCAGTGCCAGTGTCTCAGTGAACAGGCAGCGCTCCAGCTCCTCTGGCCCTGTGCAGGGATGGTCACTGAGCGGCCCCCAGGGTGCTGCTCCCCTTGAGGTCACTGCATCCCAGGGAGAGGGGCTGGCACCCACCGATGCGGTTCAGGAACTTAGCAGCTGCCTGCATGGGGATGGAGTCTTCTGATGGGAGACAGCAGTGCTGAGGGGGTCCTCCTGAGAGCCTTCCCCCCCCCCCCCCCCCACTCTCCACCCTGGAGAGGAGCAGCAGGCAATGCTGCGGAGCAGCACCCCCAGTGCCCCTCCCCGGAACACCATGGAAGAACACAGCCTTCACCCCTTTCCTTCCCCCCCCCCCTCAAGTGCTGCGGTTCCCGCAGACACCTCTCAAATTGCAGCAGCCCCCTCCCCAAATCCTCACCCCCTGCCCCATATAAGTCCGGGGTCTTCTCCCCCGAAACTCCCCCTTCCCACCAACCCTCGGGTTGCCCTCCTCCTCCCCCAAGCCTCAGACCTGTACCCGTCGACCCGAGCTTCCCCCCCTCCCCTTACAACGCTGGCAGCCGTTGGCATAGGAACGGCCCAACCCCACCTCTTAAAGTGGCCACAACCTCACAGCAATGAATAGCTTTTTTGGGAGGTGGGGGCAAAGGGGTACTCCCCCAGACACAGAAAAAAGTGGTTGAGTGGGAAAAGATTCGATTTAGACTTTTATTTGGGGGGGTGTACAGGGGTTTCCAGTCCTCAGTACAGAAGTACTAACTGCACACCCCCAGCACTGTGCCCCCCATCCCAGTGTATGGGAGTGGATAAGGACACGGGGGGAGCCCCAGGGCAATGGTGGGCACCCAGGCTTCCTCCCTGCCCCTCCACCCCCAAAGGGAGACACAGTAATGAGGGGGAAAGGGAATTCCCTGAGCACTGGGGGTAAACTGGGGTCTCCCATAAAACAAAAGGGAGGGAAATAAGGAGAGTCCTTAGTGCTGTTTCTACAGCCCCAGAAATGGGGCAGGGCGGCCGCAGACCCCCAGAGAAGGGATCGTGTGGAAAAAGGGGTTAGGGAAAGGGACCACCTATGAGTTGCACACATGGGGTGTGTGTATGGGGGGGGGTCCATGCTTTCCCTGTATCTCCCAGCAGGATTAAGGAGGAGGGGAATTCACAGCAGAAAATCACATAGTCCAGAAGATCCCCCCACGTCCAGAGGGGGGTCACGAGGTGGGGAGGGTCACTAGGTGGCCTTGTAGAGATCCTTCCTCCTGCGCACCTCCCGCAGGACGCGGGCTCGGAAGGCATCATGGTGCTCCCCGCTGCCCCGCTGCAGCCCCAGCGCCTCGTGCAGCTCCCGGCGGTGCGTGCGCAGGAAGGGGTTGTAGGTCCGCTCCTCGCCCAACGTCGAGGGGCACTGCGGGGTGGAGGACAGCGCTCAGCCACATCGTCCTCCCCACAGACACAAACAGGGCCGTGGGAGAGGGAGGTCCTCACCGTGCTCCTCTTCTCCTGCCGCTGCTGAGTGGCCCAGAGCAGCTTCTGCTCCAGCGCGGGGTTGTCCAGCTCCAGCAGGCGGGCAAAGCTCAGGCACTCCAGTGCATACTCGTGGCCTGGGGGCAGCACCTCAGCATCACCCCAGAGCGATGGAAAGGGGCAATCTGGGGGTTTTAGGGTAGCAGATGCTCACCCGGCCACAGCAGCGTGTCCTCTCCCAAGCCCATGGCTGCATCCAGGGAGGCCAGCATGGTTTCGGGGGAGCCCTCAAACAGTCTTCCTGCGGCCAAACACACAGCCACCATCACCAGGGGAGGGAGGTTCAATTGGGGGGTCCCCTCCTGCAGCCCTTCAGGACTTCAATGCCCAACATTTAGACAACATGGGATCGCTGCACTCACCGCAGCCAGCCAGGAAGAGCAGGTCCCCGGAGAACAGGCAGGGGGGGCCCCCGAAGGGCCCTGCATCCAGCACAAAGGCCATGTGCCCCACGGTGTGGCCTGGTGTGGCCAGTGCCTCAAAAGTCAGGCAGCCCACGCTCAGCTTCTCCCTGTCCCCAATGGGGCTGTGCCAGCAGGGAGGGGGGGAGCACGGTCACAGATACCCAAAATACCCAGCACTCCCAAAACAGCCCCCACAGGGTTCATAGCATGCCAGGGTGCTGGCACGGGGGGAGGGAGACCCAAATAGATGGAAGGATGACTGCGGCACTTACTGGGTGAGCTCAGGGATGGCATCGACAGCACTGCCATACACCTTGCAGGAGCTGTGCTGCTGGAGCAGCGCCGCATTCCCTCCGCTGTGGTCCCTGCAGGTGAGCAGGTCAGTGCATCCCCAGTACAGGTTAGGTATGGGGGCACACCATCTCAGCAACACTTGGAGCTGAGGGGCTCATAGCCTGCCAACCCCAGCTGCCCCACTCCCACAGAAGCAGGCTTTGCTCTGGGATCCCCACCCCAACAAGCGTCCCCAGCACCTCTAATCACTCTCAAACCCCCCAGTACTCCCTTACCAGTGTTTGTGTGTACAGAGTATAGCCTCCAGCACCACCCCCTCCTCTTCAATGGCAGCCTGGCAGGACAGAAATTTGGGAGCACGTGTATGGGGGGAACACTGCTCCCTGCTCCCTGACACCCCGCCCTGTGCACTGTAGGTTACAGATTAGGGGCAGATATGCTCCCCACTCCCAGGACACCACAGTACAGCACTGTGAGTGGGGGGGGGGGAAATCCCACCTGCACAGCCAGTGGGTCAGAGGGGTCGACCACGGCTGCACGGCCAGAGTCTGTGTCGATGACCAGGTAGCTGTAGTTATTGGAGAGCACGGGGATGGGCACGATTTTCACCCCTGAAAAGGACACACGGACAGACAGACAGACATCAGGGTACAATGGCAGCAAGGCTGAAGCCCCCTGCCCAAAATGGGGATGAAGCTCAGAACTCACCATGGAAGCCCCGTGGTTGGGACACCGAATGGCCATGGGGGAAGCGCTCGCGGGCCTTCTTCACCTGCCGCTTGTAGAAGAGGAAGCCGAGGCGTGTGCGGGCATACAGGCTGTACCTGTGGGGGGCACAGGGAGCCCCCATGGGGGGATTTAAAACACATCTCTTCCTCACAGCCCCGTATGCCCTCTGCAAAAGTCCTGGTCCCACCATCTATCCCCAGCTGTGAGCACAGCCCCGATCTGAGGTCGATCCCACGCTGAGAGCTGCAATGGACACTGGGTTCTGGAATCAGGCGGAACACACAGCACTGTTGGGTAACGAGGAGGGCAAAACAGAAGGGGCTGCAGAAAAGGGAAGCGAGAAGCACTCCCGTTCACATGCCACGTAAGACCAACAGGCTTGAACCCTTTCTATTTATACAGGAGGATTTCAGGGCTGGGGACAGATGCCATGAAGGACGTGAGATGCTCGAACCTACATCTTTACCCCATTCTCATCCGCAGGGCATCACCCAGGGCGCTACACCGTGCACCTGCTCATCCTCGTAAGGGCACGGTGGGGGATGCGCCTGGAAAAACGGTGGTGGGTGGAGACCGACACCCGCGGGCCGGCACTGCTCGGTGGAGCGAGGGCAGAACAAAGGGGAGCAGCGGGGGCGGCCCCGCACCTTCAACCTTTGCGCTCCCCCCGACGGCGGCGATTCCGGCGCTCCCGCCCGCAGCCTTCCGTTGGGGGAGCCCCGCGGATCCCCACTCGGACGGCCGGGAGAGCCGACCCTTCTGTGCGAGGCCACCCCCACGGCCCGCCGGCACTCACCCCAGGCGGAAAAGCAGCGGCCCGGCGAGTGCCATGAGCGCGGCGGAGGCGCGGCGGGCGATGCGGCGCACAGCCGGACAGCGGCCCAGCCAGGCGGCGATCACCAGCCCGCACGCAGCGGCCCCAGCCGCCACCGCCGCCCGACAGCGCGGCCCCGCCATGCCCCTCGCCCGCCCCCGCGGGGCCCCGCCCCCCTCGACAGCCAATAGGGGAGCGGCGTGACTTCGGGCCTCGCCCCCTCACCGTTCCCGCCACCCCACGCGCCCCCTGCCGGAGGGTTTCCCCCTGTTAGACGTCAGTCGCGGGGAAGGGGGACCCCTGCGAATGACGTCAGCGCCGCGGTGGGGGTCCCCCGTGGGGGGACCGCGCTGCCCCGCGGAGCCCGGCCCGACTGCGGCACGGTGGGGCGTCCCCACGCTGCAGCCACTGCCCCGTGGGGGCTGCGGGACGCTCGGTCCGGCACCGTCACCCTACCGCTCTGGACTCGCACCGACTGCTGTGTGGAGGAGCCGCCGCACGAGGGCGCGGCGCCGAGGGGCGGCCCCGAGGCGGGGCAGCTGCCGTCCGTCCCTCCGGACCCGCCCCCGCCGCCCCGTCCCGGCCTGTCCCGTCCCGCCCCGGCCGAGTTCCAGCCCCGCGGAGCAGCGCGCAGCAGGTAGGGGAGGCCCGACACCCCCAGCTCTGTCCCTGCGCTGACCCATGCCACTACTAGTGGCATGAGTGGGGTCGTGGGGAGCGGGAGGGGCAGAGACGGAGTCCCCCGGGTCCCCTCGGGAGTCCCCCAGCTCGGGCGGGGTCTCCCAGCTCTCCCAAACCACTTCCGGTCCCCTATCTGTCTGCCCACCCCGCCGATGCCCCCCAGCCCAAGCCCACTCCGTTAACCCACCTTACCATCCCCCCGGATCTTTCCCAGACCCCCCTCCCCTTCCCCCCTTCTCTGCTTATTTCCTCCCCTCCCTCTTTGCCTTCCAAATCCCCGACGTCACCCCGCCTGCCCCCCTCTCGCCCTTGGAACCCCCCAGCACTACCTCTATGCCCCCTCTGCCTTTCCCGGTGTCCTAGGAGGTGGGTGGGTGTCCCACGGACTGGAGAGGACCCGTCTAGGGACTGGAGGTGCTGTCCCCGAGCCGCGGTGACACGCCGTGGTTCCGTGGGATTGATTGCTGCGACGTGTGGCCCTTGGCCCTCATCCACCGCCTTCCTCTGAGCTTCCCGGAATGGCTGGGAATCTGCTTGGATGGGGTGGGGGGTTGGGCTGGGGGGAGCATCCCTGTGTTCCCCCATCCTTGTCCCCAGTGCTCTGTTCAGGGGTTCTGTGCCTGTGTCCCACCCCAGCCATGGTGTCCCCATCTCTGGGTGGGAAGGGCCTGCCAGTGCGTTGCGAGGCAACCTGTGGCTTCAGCTGAACGGGGGCAAAGTCCCAGTCTGCTTGGCACAGGGACAGCAGTGGGAGGGGGTTCCGTGGGGGACTGTGCTGTGATACCCTGCTATTGGAAGGGGTGTCTCACGAAAAGCCTGATGCTGGACAAGGATATGGGGTGGTATGGGGTAGGCACTGTAGGGCATGAAGCCAGCTCTCTGCATAGGGACACCTGGGTCGCAGCAGATTGGGGACAGGAGGTGACAGCTGGCATACATACTTGGCACCCCTGGGATGGGACGGATAGGGCTGCGGGGCTGAGACCCTGCAAACTCGTGCCATGGGTGAGCTGAGCTAGGCAGCAAGCCTGGAGGCATAGGGGCATCCGTGCTGTGCTGTACCGAGCTGTGCCATGCTGTACTGTGCTGTACCAGGCTGTGCCAAACTGCTGTAATTTTCCAAGTTCTAGGAAGGCAGAGCCCTTCCACGGCTGATCCACTCTGGGAAAGCCCCAGAAAAAGTGGGGAGTGCTGGTATCCTGCCCAGCTAGGTGCTGTGTGGAGCACCCCATCTCCATTGTGTTGAGGTCCCCCCCTGGCTGCCTGCCACTTATCAGTGCTGAGTCACGGTACCAGGCAGAGCTGTGGGGACCGGGTGGTGGCCACAGGGTCACTGAGCTAGCTGGGGTGGCCTGGCTGGTGACCATAGGTTTCGATGCCCTGTTCTGAAAGAGGAAATAGATCATGCGTTGGGGTTCTGTGCCCAGAGATGGATTCTGCCATAAGTGCCACGGGGAAGTGACCCCGTGAGGTGCGTACATCCCATGGGGCAGGGTTCTGGGGGGGGGGGGGGGGGCTGGTGGGGTTGAGTGCTGCTGGGTGCGGCTGGGACCCGTTGGGCTGGTTTCTTGTCTCTGCTGAGGCTGTGCCTGGGCATTGCTCCGGTTGGAGGCATTCACTTGGGCTCGATCTCATGGCCACACTGAAGTAGGGGGGGCTGCTGGATGCGGGGTGGGTGAGTAAGGGGTGCCAGCAGGCACTGAGTGGTTTAGGAGAAACTGAGGAGTGTTGAAAGCGAAACTTTGGAGACCACGTGGATGGGTTATTTTCGGCACTACCGTCACCATGATGGGAAACATGACGGCATGGCTGTGGGGCAGGCAACCACCCCCGCTGGGATGGATGGACGAACGGACATTGAGCATTCCCCCTGTGTGCCCCCCCATCCCATCCCACCCGGCACAGCACTGGCACAATGCTGCAGGAAGCTCCCAGTCCCACCCAGTTCCCTTGGGGCTAAGTCCTGCTCACGTCACTGCTGGTGCTGTGGGGGGGCAGGGGATGAGGGCGGGGGGGTTCCCTGCCAGCGCCACGGGTGTGGGGCAGGGGCCTGGCAACAGCTCCTGGCAGCGCCATTGTTTTCCTGGCCTTGGTGTTCCTGCCTTTCTCCTCCTTCTCTGCCTCCTGCTCTGGGGGAGTCAGCCCAGTGCTGGCCCTGCTCCCAGCACAGCTACTTGGCGGCTGCTGGGGGATCTGCAAGGGGAGCTCAGTGCAGGGTCCCAGTCTCCCCACCTCTGCAGTCGTACCTGATGGGGGTTGGCACCGTCCCTGGTCCCAGCACTGCAGTGGCATGTGCTGATCCACAGCCCTGTGCCCATCTCTGAGCCTCAGCAGTGTTTGTGGGGAGCAAAACAGAATTTCTGCCCATTGCATGGTGACTGGAGGGACACCCGGGTTGCTGACCCCAGTAATGGCAGGGCCAGCTGCAAAGGTCAGGTCCCCAGCGTACCTTGAGTCACCGCGTGGCCGTGCCCTGCCCGCAGCCACTGCCTGACATCACACCAGGGACTCAGAACATGGGAATGTAGGTGGCCCTGGGCTTTAAGTGACCTGGTCACCGTGCTTCCCGGCCCTCATTAAAGAGAGTTCACTATTAAAGAGTTGTGTTTCTCCTGCACTCGATGGAGGGCACATCATGATGACTGTCCCCTGAGTCCCATGTGTTCCTCATCATCAGGGGAAATGATACGGGCCAGGTGACATCCTCTATTCTCCCCTCCAGGTGCCCAGCAGGACAGCTCGCAGCTGGCATGGCGCAGCCCAGCGCACCCCCCCCGTACGACGACAAGAACCCCCTCTACCCCCCCAGTGCCTACCCCCAGCCCTCCCACTATGCTGGAGGGTACCCACAGCCAGGGGGGTACCCTGCACCTGCGGGCTATGCAGCACCAGGGGGGTATGGGACACCAGGAGGGTACCCACAGCCAGGGATGGCTATGCCCACCATGCCCATGCGCTTTGGTAAGCTGGGGAGCTTTGTTTTGGGGTGGGAGCATGGGCGCTGGGGGCTCTCACTCTGTTCTGGGGAGGGTGTCCTCTGGTGTGCTGTCACATGGGATGAGCTGCGGTGACCTTCCCTGGCAGGTGATAACTATGGAGGTGACGGTATGGGAGGCAGCTCCCCCATCCAGTCGGCTGACTGGGATGACAGAAAAGTACGGCACACCTTTATCCGCAAGGTGAGTCTGGGGCATCCCCTGGGGGGTTGGGGGCACGGGTTGGTGGCAGCAGGCTGAGTGCTGACTGCCTGCTGCCACCTCCCACAGGTCTATGCCATCATCTCCGTGCAGCTGCTGGTGACAGTGGGGATCATCGCGATGTTCACCTTTGTGTGAGTGAGGCGGTGATGGGGGGGGGCTCACCCCAGGGTCAGGGGGGAGCATTTTGGTGCTGGGC